ATATATATATATATATATATATATTTTTAAAAAAAAAAAAATAAAAAAAATGAAGAACTAAAATAAATAGGTAAATAAGATAAATAAACGAAAAAAATAGAAATCAAATCAAAAATAAATAAAAGTAAAAAGCTATATACTAATAGCATATTAGCATATAATCCGTTTAGGTCGCTCCCTAAAATATAACTAAAATAGCTTCGCTATAAGTTAATCTTCTTATAGAAGAAATGGGATTATACTATTCTCTCAACAGCTCACTTTCATTCACCCATTTCCTCCACTCATATACAAAAATGCATCTCTACGAACCCCCGTTCATTTCAAAATTAGTCCGAGCAACCAAACCTATCCATCTGCACCGCAGCATTCTCCGCCATCTTCCGCACCGCCTCATCCGGATGCACCTTCGCGATCCTCCTCAACCTCTTCCGCCAAAACCTCCAGCGCTCAACACTGAACCCATTCCCACCGTCCCACAAGCCATAGCTCCCATAACCACCACCAATCCAGCCCTTCTGGGCCTTCTTCCCCGAGCCCAGCGCATTCGCGCAACAAGCCTTATGCACCGCCCCGCCGGCAACGGCGATCCACTGCGCCGCCGCAGGCAGATACAGCATCGTGTGGCGGGCGCGGCCCTCGTGGCCCTCGAGCTCCACCTCCAGCGTCTCGCTCAGGTGCCACAGCGCAAAGCACAGCAAGCCCTCCTGCGGCGGAAGCTTAGCGCCGAACTCGCGCACGCACAGCGCGGCGAAGGCGTGGGCGTTCGCGAACGCGTCCACGTTCGCGTCCCATTCCTTGCTCGGGACCTTGCAGCGCTTGAAGTCGTCGACCGCGAACTGCGGCTCTGGCGTGCGGCGCGTCAGTAGATAGATATGGCTGATATTGTGGGTAGGTATACTACGCACCTATCACGCCCTCCCGCAAACAGAACCCCAACTCAGGAAGCTCGCGCCAAAACACCCTCCCATTCTCCCGCACAACCTCCCCCTTCCCGTCCAGCACGTCCGGCAATCCCGCCAAGCACTTCAGCGTCCACACCATCCGCAGCCGGGCGTATTTGTCTTCCGCCGCCCGCGCCGCCGCTTCCGTGTAGATGCGCCACAAGCCGTACACGCTCGTCGTGTTGCCCTTGCGGATGGGCGCGTCGTACGCGGCTGCGAGCTCGGCCGCTGCTTGCTCGGGTGTTGTGATTTCGCAGAGAAGGGAGTGTACGATGGTGAGGGCGCGCTGGTCGTGCGCGGCTTGGTTGCTGGGGTGCGTGAGAGCGGTTTCGAACCATGCGTCTGCCATTTTGGGCGAGGGGGGTTGGGTGGTGTTGTTGTTGTTCTTGCTGGGGGGCTGTAGGCGCGGCAGGCGCTGGCTTTGATGTACTCTGTAGTGGGCTGGCGTATGACTCTTTTGCTGCTGTTGCTACTGCCTGCTAGAGCTGTCTGCGCCTCAGTGATTGTCGCTGGAGTGAGTCGTTGTTGCGCCCCCACTTGGCCCCCGCGCGCTCCCTTGCCCATCCTTCTTCCCTATTCGGATTGGGACGGGCTGTACGAGTTATAATTGCAAGTTTTATGGGCAGGTATGTATGAGGAAAGCCTAAGGAGATCAGCACTTCAGCCAACATACTCCAGAAGTCAACAGCCGATCTAGATCAACCACTCATTCTTTTCACTCACCACGTCGTGTGTCCTCGCTGAGTATCGCTGAAGCTATTCTGCTCTACTTGATGTACTCTGTTCCATGTTAAATGTTATCGCTACCATCTCTCCCCTTCATTTCCCTTCTCAATCACTCTTTCTCTCCCGCTTTCTGGTATCTCCTCCTACGCTGTCTCTCCTACTCAATCAACCACCTGCCCTTCTTAATCCATCCTTCCCTCGATCAAGTTATCCCAATCAAACCATAACGCCCAACCCAAATGCTTGCTTGCTCGCATGCTTGCATGCTGGCTTCTTTGAATCCAAATCTCCCGTTAATACCTCCTTCTCCTTCCACCTTAGTTCTCCCCACCACTTCCTCCCCAGCGCCACAGCCTAAACCATCCCTCCCGTCTTTGATCCACACCACCCGCTCTCGCTCTAACACGCGGCAGCCTTACGCTCCACGAGCGATTCCTATCCGGGCTAGGGCTCAGAAGCGCCACAGCGGGGTCGTCATCTTCATCACCACCGTCACCACTCAGTGCGAGGGGACTACTCTCCCTGCCAGGGAGCCCGAGACTGATATTCCCTGGCATGAGGCGCTGCCCCCCGCTCGCCAAGCTGTTCCACCACGAGCTGCGCCGCCTGTGGTTCATGGTACTGCTGCTGTGATTCAGGGGCATCGTCTTCGATCTGTTGGGTGCGCTGGGTCGTTCTCGGCTGCGCGGCTCCATCGGACTCTTCAGGCTCGGGCTGCGCAGCACGCCGCGGTCGTTGAGCTCGTCCCAGATCTCGCCTGCTTCTTCAGAGATTGTCATACGGCGCAAATTCTGGAGCCCGCGGGGCTTATAACGCGCCTTCGGGGCTGGTGCTGTGTTGGTGCGGAGCAGCAGTGGCGTCTGCTCGTCAGGTTCCATGGTGCGGTGGGTCAGGATACCGTTGTTACCTGTGCGCTTGGTGCCCACAGAGGCTTCTTCGTCAAAGGGAGGCGTATCAGTGCCAGTGGAAGCGTCTTCTTCTTCTTCCCCTGTGTTGATGAATCCCAGACCCGGTGTGAGCGCGGTGCGCGGTGGCGGAACACCGGTGATTGAGCGGTGCGACGCCTTGCGCCGGTGCTTCGACGTGGTACTGGTGGAGGGGTCCTGGTCGTCAAGGCGCCAGGAGAGAGCTGCAACGCCGGCGAGCAGGATGACGGTACCGACAGCAATCAAGCAAGCGTCGCGCACGGGGAGGCGCGAGATTTGCCGGAAGTATATGAGACCGTCGAGGATGGCGATGATGTTGTAAATGCAAAAGACGAACGGGTATAGAATGCTCGTGGAGCAGAGCTTAAGGCCGCGATGTAGGTAATATAACTGCGTTAGGGCGAAAGCTACAAGACCGAGTAGTATTGCCCAAGATTGCCAGCGAACAAACTGGTTGTGACGGTCGACTATGGTGCGGACGAGCAGCTCGACCGCGGACTTGGCGATAAGTAGGCAGTGTGCGGAGAGGATGCCGCTCATGGCGCCAAAGCACATTCCCCGCAGAAGACGTATGACTGGCGTAGGCCGAGGGGACAGGCGTTTCAGGACCCATTGTGCGACAAAAAGAAGCGCTGTAACGAGCAACGTTGCAAAGAGCCACACCAGAAATGCCGCCTTCCCCAGCAGGACCAGCAACTGGTCAAGGGTGTGCGACGGCTCGGTCAAGGCGCCAAACGTGCCAATCAGGACGGCGCCGGCGGTGACGAGGATGGTGCCGACGAGCGAGTAACGTGTAAAGGGCTCGCTCAGGACGATGGTGGCGCATAGCGAGTTGAACACCAGGCCGGACTGCGACAGTCAGTAAGTCGCACTTGGGGGTGAGCAGAGGGGTGGCGCACAGCCTGGAGGGTTGACAAGACGGGCAGCGGCAGGGTGGTGATTTGGATGGTGCTCCCGACGAGGTTTGCGACGATGAACATGAACATGCCCAACTACAGAGGGGTCAGGTCAGCATGCGCGCGATATGCATGGTGTCGTGGAAGGGATTGCATACCTGCCATCGTCGGCGGCGGTAGGGCGGACGGCGCGTATGCGTCTCCTCCTTCTCATCCTCGAGTAGGTGCGATTTGCGCTGCAGCGTCAGACCGACGCTCTGGATGCTGGTCGAGAGCAGGCCGACGAAGACTCCAAGCTGGGCGTTGTCGGCCATGTCAGTCGCTGAAGGCTACGCAAGCTCCTTCGATGAAGGGCTTAGGGGAAGGGATCGGGGACTGACAGCAACGCTCCCGCCAGCGGACAGCTCGACCATTGTCTTCTCTTGCTACCTGATGGGCACAGGCATGCTGTCGTGCGTTTGTAGGGGGCAGCGGGGTCGGTACCGCTGGTAGCGCATGCGGTCAAAAGAATGAGACCGTAAATGAGAGGAGGATGAAGCCGGGCCTGTCCAGCGACCAGGTCCGGCCGATGCTCACGAGACGACGCCAGCCGCGACGTCAAGCGACGGCCGGGCGCGTGGGGGGGAGCGCGATGGTGCGGCGCCGCGACGGGTCGTCAGAAGTAAAGAGAGGTGTGTGTGTGCGTGTGGGGATTTGCTTTTCGCGAGCGGGACATGCAAGTAATGTAGGCACGTAGTAAGACGATCTGGGGGCAAGGGCTTGCCGGTCGAGGTGCTGCTTGACGGCAGCCGCATGCATCGCGCGGCAAGCTGGGGCCAAGCTAGGGTAGGTTGGGCGGGCATCATCGTCGCTGGCGCTGGCACAACGACACCGCCCGCACAACAACACACACACATTACAACCACCTCCACCACAACAACCCGCTCTCTCTCTGCTTCCTCCTGCAGCTGCTTGCCGCTCCCACCGCTCATCATGTCGCAGGTCCACGCCATGTCCGACGACCAGGTACGCCCGCCTCGTCCGTCTCAACACACCGCCGCCAGCTAATTCCTCCATGTAGGTCGCCGGCGAGCTCAAGAAGATGACGGCCTTCATCCGTCAAGAGGCTCTCGAGAAGGCCAAGGAGATCCAGATCAAGGCCGACGAGGAGTTTGCCATCGAAAAGTCCAAGCTGGTGCGCCAAGAGACGCAGTCCATCGACCAGCAGTACGAGAAGAAGTTCAAGCAGGCCAGCATGTCGCAGCAAATCACCCGCTCCACCGTCGCCAACAAGTCCCGGCTGCGCATCCTGTCGGCGCGCCAGGAGCTGCTCGACAGCCTGTTTGAGAAGGCTCGCAACCAGCTCAGCGACGCCGTCGGCGATGAGTCCAAGTACCAGGAAATCATCAAGAACCTCATCCTCGAGGGCCTTTACGTCCTCAACGAGCCTAAGGCCGTGATCCGGGCGCGCCAGGCCGACTACGATGTCGTCAACAAGGCCATTGCCGACGCCGAGGCCGAGTACAAGGAGAAGACGGACAAGGAGGTCAAGCTGGAGATTGACGAGGCCAACCCGCAGCCCGAGGGATCGTAAGTGCAGCCCATGTGGGAATTGGTGTGGGAGCTGAATGCTGACATTGTGATACAGGGCTGGTGGCGTGTCCATCGTGGGTGGAAACGGCAAGATTGACATCAACAACACGTTCGAGGAGCGGTTAAGGATGCTGGAGGAGGATGCGCTGCCGGTCATTAGGGTGACGCTGTTTGGCGAGAACCCGAACCGCAAGTTCAAGGACTAGAGGGAGACGGGGGATGATATGTTTTTGTTACGACGTCAATGGCTCGGCCTGTGTACGATACATTGTGCATCAGTCAATGTTCAATTCAGCCAGGCATAGTTTGGGTTGATGTAGCGATTTTTTCGGGTCAATATAGATTTTATCGTTCCATTTTAAGGTGGTGTTGCAGCAGCAAATAATGCACGCGCGTTGCGTCGCGGCCTGGCCCAGATCACGGCCGCGCTTCGTCACTGCTCCCCGTAACTTCTCCACGCTTCACTTCCGCAGCTGCACCGCCCGCCCAGCCTGCCAAAACACCCCAACCCAGCATTCCCCCTAGCACAATGCTGGTCTCTCTGACTGTTGGCAAGGTCGATGCCGGCGTAGCCGTGCTGCTGACCGACGACAAACGCCTGGTACTGCCTCTCTCCAGCCCGCAATGTACACATTTCACCTCCCTCTCCCCTTGATACAAGACTCGCGCGCGCCCTGCACTGCGGCTCGGATAGAGTGCTGACTACCGCCACGCCACCAGATTGAATTCCCCTCAATTCTGCTGCCGCCTGACATCACCTCCGGCAGCATCGTCGACATCACCGTCGCGCGCAACACGCAATCCGAGGCTGCCGCCGCGCAAGCATTCCACACCCTGCAGAGCAAGATTTTCCAGACATTCGGTCAGCACACGCCCTCGGCCCCCGTCCTGCGCTGTCGCAATGCCACCCAGACGTCCGTCGTGCTCGAATGGGACCCCATACAGTTGGCCACGGCCGAGCTGCGCAGCCTGAGCCTGTACAGGAACGGCAGCAAGGCAGGCAGCATTCCGCGGCCGCTGGACATGCAGAGCACCAAAATCTCCGGCCTGGCTGTCGACACGGAATACATATTCCACCTGGTGCTGCGCACGTCGGCGGGCACGTACAGCAGCGAGCGACTGGCGGTCCGCACGCACAAGATGACGGACCTGTCGGGCATTACGGTGACGCCGGGTCCGATGCCCGCAGCGCTCAGGGAGTCGCTCGCGCAGACTATCAACCGCATTGGGGCCAAGATGATCGACCAGGTCCGCATTGACACGACACACTTCATCTGCACCGAAGGACGCGGCCCCGCGTGGGAAAAGGCAGTCGAGATGAATGTGCCCATTGTCGTGCCCGACTGGGTCAAAGGCTGCGAGCGTGAGGGCCGCATCATCGGTGTGCGCCATTACTACATTAACGCAGACCCGCGCCTACGCCAGGTTGGCCCTTCGCCCACAAACCAGCAGCACAACGTCCCCAGCCACGGCCGCAGCCAGAGCTCCCAGCTCATGGCCGGCGGCTCCGTCCGCAGTCCGCCGATGCCTAGCCCGCGCACGGAAATCACGCCCCCGACCCCAGAGCAACAGGTGGCGCGGCACTCTCGTTCGACGAGTCTTGCCGCGGTGGTGAACGGCCAGCCGCCCCAGATCGAAGAAGAAGCCGCACCACCGCCGCCACCGAAGGACGACCAGCCCGCACCTGCCGTGTCATCACCCCCTCCTCCGGCGGGCGAGGGACACCACCAACGGCAGCCCTCGGAACCGCAGGCAGAAGAACCGCCTGCGCAGCCGAACGATGATGACGCGGCTGCCCCGCCAGTGGTGGCGCCAGACGCGGGCAACGAGGCCGACGCCTCAGGCAGCGAGTCGGGTGGGAGTGACGCGGACACGGAGAAAGGCGACAACGACAACCTGGACGTGGAGAAGCACCAGCTCAAAGGGACGACATTTCCGAACACGCCGGGCATCCAGCACGACCACCCCTTGCCAAGCCCCAGCGACGCGGGGTCCTTTCAGGACGTCGCTCTCTGAGGAAACGACAAGCAACATTCTACCTCTGGCACCACCGCCGCTGCCGCCGGAAGCATTGCGCGAGCTGCCACAATTACCGTTGCCAGAGCCGCCGAGGTCGGTGCCGTTGGAGCCGAAGAAGCGGGCAGAGCTGAGTATCGAGGTGCCGGCGCCTGGGCCCCTGCCCCTGGGAGTCGCGGGCAGCGCGGGCAGCAGCTTCCGCGTCACGGGCGTGTTTGCGCATACGAGTCCGTTGGCATCGCCGTTGTTGAGGGGTGGGGGCGGGAGCCCGTTGGCTTGGCTTTGGGACGCGGCGGTGGAGATGGAGGTGCGTGATAGTGATGATGATGAGGAAGAGGAAGGGGAGTATGGGGATGGGGATGGAGACAGCAGCAGTGAGGAGGGAAGTGATGGGCTGTAGTAGAAGGGGTGTTTCTTAGAGTCTTGCTTCTTTGATGGATGTGGCATGCGTTTCCTTATATTTTCGTGTTCGCTTTGATGATGATATCGGCTTGGTCGACAGGATTGGATGGATGGATGGATGAATTTTAGTTTCGAATAAAGGTCCATAGACGATGGGAGAGGTGATAATGATGATTATGGATTATGGGTTTTTCGCTGTTTGCTTTGATGTGCTTGTTTTGGTTTTTGATTTTGATTTGTTTCGTTTTGGGGTCTGACTACATACATAGTCGGGATGCTGGTGGCGTGGGCTTGAATCCATGTACTCCTATATAGGCTAAAAAGTCGAGGGATTAGGTGGTTGCAAGTGGATTAAATAAACTTTCTCTTCCAGCAACCATCAACACCACCGTTATCAGACTGCTCATACTCGCGTACAACTTCAAGCAAACACCCACCCACCCACTCACTCACTTCCCCCCGTTTTTCACGCTCACCCACCCATTCTCACACAAAACATCAAGACCAGTCAGAGCAAAGGTCCTGTACAGCCAGCGCACAGAAAAATACAGAAAACAAGACGAAAACACGCCGCCACTCATCTTCGACAGGCAATCTGAGTGAAAAACAAAGAAGCAACACAACAGAGTGAAAACGCAACGCAACGCAGCGCCAGCCAGCCAGCTACATAGGTAGTCGCTATGCTACGCTATCCAGCGCTGTCGTTCTAAAGGCGTATATAATATATATAATATATATAGCTGTACGTAAATATGTACCGCAAACCTCAGCATATCCCATATAAACAAATAACAAACAAATAAACAAGCCAACAAAAGAATCCCCCAAGCAGTCAGCCATCCACATACAAAACCCATCATTCAGCATCATCATCCAACAACAACCCAACAACACCCAAACCCAAAACAAACCCCCAGCTCCAAGGCGCCAGCGCCAGCCCGTCCGCTCAAAAACAATGATTAACCCAAACCCCGACCTCACCTCAAACGACCAAACTCACAACTTCGCCACCTCGCCGCCCTCACCCCCGCCCTCCCCCAACGCGGCCCTCGCCCTCGCACGCAGCGCCTCTAACTCCCTCGCCCCAAACTCGACGTACCCAGTCCCGGGCCTCGCCATCCCCACCGCCTCCGGCAACCACATCATGCGATCCTCAGGCATAGCGCCAGCCCTAATACGCTCGACATCGATGCCCTCGGCCCTCAGGGGCGTCTTATTCTGCTTATTATTATGCATGGGCGTCAGCGTCGCCATCAGGCGCAAGAACACCGGGACGGCGTATTTAGGCAGGCGCGCGCGGGCGTGGCGCAGCAGCGCGTCCATGTCGAAGCGGTCGCGCTGGGCGGGCGGCACGAATAGCGCGGCGCATCCGGCTCGGCCGTCGTGGCCCGCTACTTCGACGCCGTAGACAATGGCTTCGACTACGCCGGGGAAGCTGTCCATCGCTTCCGATACTTCGGCTGTAGAGACGTTTTCGGATTTCCAGCGGTATGTGTCGCCTAGTCGGTCGAGGAAGAACCAGCGTCCGTCGGGTGTGCGGCGCAGCGCGTCGCCGGTGCGGTAGTAGAGGTCGCCGCGCTTGAAGACGTTGCGCTCGAATTTTTTGGACGTGGCGTCGGCATTCTTCCAGTAGCTGGGGACAGGGTTAGTGATGCTGATGTTTCCTTTTCTTTGCTTTGTACTTCTGCTTCCCAGTCTTCCTTAGCATGATAATGGCGAGCAGGAGCTACTCACCCAACAAAAGCCTTCTCACTCGACACCTTGACGATAATCTCGCCGCCCTCGTCGTACGGCTTGCGCTTCGCGAACCCGCTCTTCGGGTCCCGCCAGATACCGCCAGACTCGTGGTCGATCTCGACCGGGACAAAGACGTTATGAAGCATGGCGCGCATAATTGCGCCGTGGTGCCCAACGGCGCTCTGCTGGTAGGGTCCGCGGCACACGTTGAGCAGCGCGAAGACGCCTTCGGTGCTGTTGAAGAACTCGGACACGCATTCAATGCCGAAGCGCTCGCTGAACCGCTTCCACACGTCGGGGCGCAGCCCGTTGCCGAACATGACTCTGACGCGGTGGCTCTTGTCGTGGGGGGACGGCGGCGTGGCGAGCAGGTACCTGACTGTCTCACCCACATACCTGGACGGCGTCAGTCAGTTCTGGGAGACTTTGTTCCCTTTGTCACGAAATGCTTACACAAAAGCAGTGGAGTCGCTGTCGCGAATGTCGGACCAGAAGCCCGACGTCGAAAACTTCTTGCCGATGCAGAGCGTGGTGCCGATACACAAGCACGTCACTGTCGTCGTGAACCCGGTGCCATGGTACATGGGCATGCAGTTGTACCACCTGTCGCCCTTCGGGCCTGGAGTAATACCCAGGCTGCGTGCTCGCGGGCTGCAGAGCACGGATGCACGCGCGAGAGGGAACGGACATGCTTTTGGGAGGCCGGTCGAGCCGCTGAACATGTCAGTTTCGTTACCCCTAAGGACATCAGACGACATACCTGGTGTAGAGCAGGCACATGGGAAAGTCGCCCTTGACGCCTTCCCTGTGCTTTCGCTCCGGCCTCTTCACCTCCTGTGCCGTTATCCGCGTCTTCGTCTCATCATCTAAGAAGAGAATACGCAAGCCCGCCTCCTCGATTTCGCGGCGAGCCTCTTCAACCCTCTGGCGACAGGCCGCATCGCCGTCCGCCAACAACACCTTGGCCCCGGAGATCTTGAGGCAATGCACCAAACTGGCGCCACCGAGATTGTTGTTGATAAGGGCGGGCGCCGAGCCGATGGACCAGGATCCCAGGGTCGAGAAGACGAATTCGGGCGAGTTCAGCAGGTACAAGGCCACGAGGTCGCCCTTGTGCACGCCCGCCTCCAGCAGAAACTGGGCATAGCGACAGGAGTGGGCGTGCGTCTCCTGCCAGGTGTACGAGCCCGTGCGCGACCAGAGACACTGCTCATCGGCGGGCAGGCGGTTTACCTGGGCCTCGAAGTTGTACCAGAGCGAGTAGCGGTCTTGCTTGCCTGCGAGGGAAAGAAAAGCGCGTCAGCGGTGCGGGGCACGGCGGTGGTTATGGCGGCGGCGCGGGCACCCTGTGTAGCGAACTCGCGCTCAGCCATCTTGGCCGTCCATATGGCGCGGAGGTCCTTGCGGAGGTGCAGTTTGGCGTCGAGATAGGCGGCGGCAGCGGTTGCGCCAGCCACGGCGGCGGCGGCGGCGGCGGCAGGAGCTGGTGTACAGCGTCAGCGTCGGCTTCTTCTTCAGCCAGTCATCGCCATGGTGTGCATACCGAGATCCATAATCAGACCGTGTTAACGACGACTCTGCTAAGAATGACGATGGAGCGGCAGCGAGGGCCTGGTGGAGACCTCTATTGTACTCTTGCCGCGTCTGCCATTGAGCCTCGGGTTAGCTGTGGCATGACCTCGGTCATTGCGTCGCGGCGCTCCAGTTTTCCCCAGCTTTTCCCCACAACGGCCGGCAGTCGTCGCAACCCTCTCGCCAATTGCCGATGCCGGTCCATCATCATCATCAATGCCGGCTGATGAGAATAGCAACATAGGTAGTGTTGGGATTCCATGCTCCATGCACCGCACCTTTTGTCAGCACTGCGCATTGGCGCCACCTCTCTCATCACCGCATCAAGGGGCGCTGCGGGCGCACTTTAACCGTAAGCAGCACATCAGCTCCACATTTCTCGCGCGTCGGCGGCGCGCCTGCGCCTACTCCCAGTGGCTGTAGAGGAAACCTACACCAACTCAAGAGGAGTCTTCTAACCCCCTCCGGCTATCCATTAGGAGTAGCAAACGCAGTGGTGATCATCCAATTTGAACGAGATATTACTCTATCTAATCTTGCCCACACGTGCCATAAAGGCTATGTTTTGATGCCTACTGGGCCCCTGGTACCCCCTCACTTCTAGAAGCATATGGATGTCCGCCACAGTGTTTCCGCCGCAGAAGCCATCGCCGTTACTAGCCGTTGGCCGAGTCCAGGGCGCTGCGCTCGCGTCTGGTCGCGCTCTTGTCACGCCATTCGGCCACACCGGGTGGCGTCCCGTAACGGCGGTGCGCGGCAGCTGCTAATCCCTCGTGGGATAGTTCTAGAAGTGAGGCAAACCAAAGGTGTATGCATGTGGTTAGGGGACATACATGCTCGTATAACCTCAAGCTCTGCGGCTAGAGACGGTAAAGTAGTAATAGAAACACCGCTAGCATCAGCACAAGTGGAGCATCGTCCCTCTAAAATCTCAACCACGCAGGATGGATTCATAACCGCGGGGAACCGGCTTCGTGGCCGCAGATATTGCGGCTTTAAAGCCTCCTGCTCCCAAGAAGGCTTATTCCGGAAGTAAATGCATCCGCCACCTGGGCTCGAGTATACCCATTTTAGCCAGGACAGCGTAAAAGGGCTCTAATTCATTGTCGAAAACGCGTACTAGTGAATGTGTCTGCTCGTCACGAAGGCTCATATGCTTCGGGCCTCGCATGCTGACCGAGGTCCGGTCCCGTCGACCGAAGACCTGTGTCGGAGAAGCCAGGAGAAGCTCTGTCGTCGATGCAGAAAATTCTGGCATGCATTTGGGTGGTTCTGGATTCTCTGAGAGACGTTTGTGAACGGCATTGTCGATCAGTGAAAATCGGCAGTCGGTAGGGTCCCGGAGCGTCCGAGCTGTTCCCTCTGCGGAGGCGATCAACCACGGACCTCGGAACAACCATTCGCCGATCCAGACTTGTGGACGTCCATACATGACACCCAATTGCGAGAAGCGGAGGACCAGGAACTCGATTCAGGGTCCTGCGCGATGTCGAGATCCCCGATCCTTCGCTTCCTTGACCCTACCAAGACTCGCATGCTGCCATCCCGCTCCCGCCGCTGAGCTTGGCAAGTGATAGTCCAGCCTTTCGCGCAGAGCCGTTCGACTTGCGTCACTCGACCAGAACATGGGCGTATCCCTAAATTGCAGAGAACAAGCCCCGCACAAGCCTCGACGAATCTCAGCCGCGGGGAGCCGGGCTTGGAGGCTCCAGTCAGCCTTGTAGCATTGACCAGACGTGTAGGCGTCAGACAAGCAGCCACAGTGAGATATAGTGCTGACCTGAGATCAATATACAGCAAAAGAGAGCTCTTCGGCGAAGAGAATTTTAGGAGAGATGATCTTCTACGGCCCATCCGTCATTACTAACAGCGGCTGAGCGGAAGTGCAGGGAGTTCTCTGATTAAAACGACCATCAACCCAGATGACCTGTAGGCTGTGCTTGATACTTGTGGTCCACAGACAACCCTGTTTCCAGGGACGTTGTCTGGTTTGACGTTCCAAGTCGTTAGGGGCGGGTACAGGCTCAAGTGACAACGCCATGGAATAGCTTCTGGAGTTCCAAGGAGATGCTCCCGCTCTGGCTGATTGGCCGGGCACGAGCGCATATCAGGTCCCTGGCTGGTGGCAGGTGCTGGTCCTCAGCAGTCTCGAATCAAGACTCTCGGCTCTCGTACTCGCAGCTCTTCATCCCTGCCGCGGCTTCGCTCGGATGTGTACGCGTACCCGCGTAACATCATCGAAGAAATTTATGAGTGTTATTGCGGCCCTTGCGATCCATGTTCCTCGCCACGCCAAAGTTTTGCCTGAAGTCTTGGATACTCTACTCGAGTAGGATGGGCTGGAAGACGTGACGTGACGCAGCTGGCATGATGTCAAGGCTTCAAGGAAGAGAAGAGCCATTTGGCCGAGCCGCGTGCAAGAAGTGGGTGTGGTTGGATATGGAGAAGCGGAGCTATGTCGGCCAGTTCGCAGCTCGCAGGTGCACGTGTGCCGTGCGCCACAGCATCTCCACGTGCAGGGCGGGTGCGGGGGTTAGAAGCATCAGAAGGGCGCTCTAGGGGGACTCTAGGGTACTCTAGAAGACGGGATGCGAGCTTCTGGAAGACGGCAGGAAGGAGCTAGTTTGGAGCAAGGGGAGGGAGGAGGCGGCGGCGGCTAGCTGGGGATGGTGGTTCGTGGTGGTGCTGGGTGTGTGTGATATGTGCGTGGATGGCGGTTCGTCGAGTAGAGAGACGGGCCGATTGGGAAAGAGTCGAGCGAAGACAGAGGAAAGAGTTGTCTGGGCGGGTGGTGAGGTGGTCGAGGGAGCGCCTTAAAGCACGGCCGAGCGCACGTCTGTCGCGACTCCAAGTCAGTCCAGTCCCGCCGAATCCCCACACGTGCCCCTCGGCCGCCAAAACAAAACACGCATCATTGTCCATCGAAGCTCGATTGAGCGTGGGCCTCCGGCGCAGTGTTTAGGCCCTCCCGCGGGCACAACTCCGCCCGCCGCCTCTTCTTCCGTTGTCCGCCCCCTCGACATCCCACAGTCACACCCAGCCAGTGGGTCTCAGCACCTGCCATCATGAAGCGCACGTTCGCCCAGATGAACGATGTCCCCGCGCCCATGGCCGCCCCCGCGCAGCCTGATCACTCGGACGCGTCGCATCAGCCCAAGATCTCGAGGAAAATCCGTGCCTGTGAGTGCGCGCCTGGCTTGGCGTCCCGTCCCGCCCCCGCCTGCTCACCCCAATTCCAGGCAAAGAGTGCCAGAGCCGCAAGGTCAAGTGCGACATTGCCGATGGCTCCAACACCTGCGCCCGCTGCCGACGCCTCGGCCTCAAGTGCGTCATCAACAAGAGCCTGCAGACGCTGCTCGACGACGAGAACCAGTGCGCATTGCCCCGCCTCCCCTCCCCCGATCTCCGTGCCCCGCTGACCCCTCCTCGTGACAGATGGAAGACGTCCATGGAGTCCAAGTACGAGCAACTTCACAACGCCGTCGCCGAGTTGCTGCGCCAATCCAACCTGCCCTCCCTCGACTCGTTTAGCCGCAGCCATTCCCTCTCTCCTTCGTTAACAAAGGCCGTCCCCAGCTCGCAGGACTCGGCGGGCCCGACACCTCCTCGTTCCGATATATTCTCTCCCCGCTCCCGACAAGCCCCGAACGTGACCATGACCCGCGAGAACTCCCCGGAGCCCCAGAGCAAGGAGGAGGACGAATTCGCTCATACCGGTCCAATGGACAGCCTCTTCCAGGTCACCAAGCTCAAGAACCTTCGTTGCACAACGTCGGAATTCCCCGACGGCGTCCGCAGGAATCCCATGTACACCGACGTCATCTCACAAGGCAAGATCAGTGAAGACCAGGCCGAGAAGTTGTTCAACCGCTTCAATGTCTCGCTAAATCACTATCTCTGGGGCGGCATTGCTCTCAAGCACGACAATCTCCAGTCGGTGCGCGAGTCGTCGTCGATGTTGTTGGCGTCGATTCTGGCTGTCACGGCACTGCACGCTCCCGACGCTGAACGCGAGCTGGATGCATGCTACTCGGAATTTCTGGCACTGGTTTCCCAGTCCATGTTCGAGCGGTACCACTGCCTCGATGACGTCCGCGCCCTCTGCATTGGCGCTTTCTACCTCTCGGAAGTCAGTTGGAAGCTCTCGGGTCATGCAGTGCGCATCGCAACCGAGATGCAACTGCACATCAGCTTCTCTAGGGCCATGGCCGGCTCGTTGGAGGAGGTTGAGCGCGCGCGCCTATGGTACTTTGTCTACGTCTGCGACCACCACTTTTCACTGGCCTACAGCCGACCGCCGGTCATTCACGAAGACGAGACGATAACACAGCACGAAAGATTTTTGAGCTTGCCTGGCATCAACAACGGCGATCTCAGGTTACAATCTCAGGTCGGCATGTTCGCAATCTTGAGCAGAGTCTTCAACAAGTTCGGTTTCGACAGCAACAGGCCATTGGAGCCGGATGATCTGCCATACATAAGGCAGTTCAACGCAAATATCGACCAGTGGAAGGACAGTTGGGAACCACGCTTGGGTAAGTCCTACGTCTCCTCCAATTAGACAATCTCTGATCGTTTAGCTCCCAACCCGTACATCGATACCTACCCCTCCAAGATTTGCACTCTGCATAACAGTTTTGCAAAGCTGCAGATCAACTCTCTATGCCTGCGTGGCATATCTCACATGTCTATGAACGATCCGAGACGCGACTTCATCAATATTGCTATTGAGAACGCAACGGCATGCTTGAGCTTTGTCTTGGACGAGCCCAACATGCGGAATGCCGTTGTCGGTGTGCCGCTCTACCTGTCGACCACGGTCAGTTTTGCTGCCGTCTTCCTCATGAAGGTGCACAGCAATTGGAAGTCAGCGAAGCTCAACACCAACTTTGGCCTCATCGTCGAGATTCTGGAGCGCATCATCAGGCTTCTCAGCGAGGCCAGGGCTAGCAAGTGTCACGTCTCGCTGCACACGGCACGGGGGCTGACGCAGATGTTGCAAAAGTTCAAGGAGCGTGAGGCACGTGCCAGCGCTGCCCAAAAAGGCATGAATATAAATCGCGGAGTGGCAAGAATGCCGCTTAACGAGGCTGCGGCCACGCCCAATGGATGGTCCGAGCGCTGGCAGCTGCAGCAGCAGCAACAACAACAACAACAGCAGCAGCAGCAGCACCAACAACAGCAGCAGCAGCCGCCGCCGCAGTTGGAAATCAATACGCAGGCCTGGGCCGGCAGCAGTCTGGACTGGTTCGGGCTAGACGATCAATATCTGCCGGCGGGGGTGTTTGATGCGGTGGCCTCATCGCTGCCGGTGGTCGGGTGGCCGCTCAACAGCCCCCCATCCAGCGACGGGCTCACGCCACGCATGCCGGTGACGGCGTGGCCGACGAGCAACCCGTCGTTCATGGGCATGCCGAGCTGGACGACGGACGAGAGCACAGGTGGCGCCGCTGCCGCTGCGGCATGCGCGCCGGCTGTCACGGCGGCGTCGGCAACCAACACGCCGCTCAGCACTTACACGGACAACTCGCACCCAGCGTGGGTCGATGACTGAGAAGCGAGCTGCGAGCGGGAGGCGACCACGCGACGATGGGCTGCGGGCCGACGCCCATTCGCTTATGTCATTGATGCTCGCTCTCTTCCATGTCTTACCTAGTCGCGGCTCTCGGGAACCGGTTCACGCACGCGAGCGCTTTTTTTTTTTT